TTTTGCATGATAGAGCTTTATGGATATGCAGTGATTTGTGGAAGTGTTCCTGGACCATGTAGTGATGTCCATGACAGAGTCAGACCTGTTCGTAATGCAGTTCTCCCCGAGGGCCCAAAGATCACGGGCATTCAGTCCAGTTTTATGAGCTCCGAGATTTCTCCACACCCTTGATGCTGTTATGAACCGTAGATTATAAGATTTTCAAAATCTTTCCAATTTTTAATTTCCACTACATTATTCTGAAATCGTTCTATTTTTAGACGCAGTTTTTCACAGAACCTCCGCCCATCTTTACTTCTAAGAGATTCAATCTCTTCAAAATGCTCTTTGTACACCCAGTCCTCTTCCTCCTCTGATGCCAATTAACATAATTTGCTGCAAAATGTTCTTCCAGCTGTTTCTTATTTGTACCACTTCTTCAGAATGGGGTTGTACTGGCTTAGGATTATAAAGGGTGAGCGATGACTAAACTGTAGAGTTAAATTAATTAATTTTTTTAAAGAGGAAGTCAGGATCAGAGACCCGAGGAGCTAACGGAACATGTAATAAAATGATGGGTCAGGTGTCACAGCTGAGAGAGAAAACAAAGGAAGATGAGGCGTGGATCTCCAGGAAGGAGAGAGGAGTACACCCAGTGGGTCACTGACGCCGTCAGCGATCCACTCTGAGCCCAGCACTGTCCTCCACCCCCCTGGAGCAGCCAGTGAATGCCTCCAGTCCATCCCTCCTCAAACTAAACACACCAGACTGTGCTTTCAGATAAAGTTATCAGAAACGGAAACGTCCACGCTTGCTGGTGAGTCTCGCACAGAGGATGTCTGAAGCATTTGCAGGATTGCTTCTGTGCTCAAACGCACTGTACGTACAAGAAAGCCCCAGGTCAGCAAAGATCTGAGGAGGAAATGCTGCATTTGGAGAGTCGTGACTCGTGACTGGGGGAGACGAGGGGAGGTGGGAAAGACCGAGGAGGAAACGAGCAGCCCTTGCAGAGGCACGTTGTGATTGGTCGACGAAGGGGGTGGAGAGAAAAAAAAGAGAAATTGGAAGCATCTTTTTACAGTAGAGGCACTCGGCATTAAAAAAGCACCGCCATGGCCCCATTCTGTGTATTGTTGTGTTTTCCTACTAAAAACCCTTCAACAGATTTAGCTTCACTTATGTGACTTCAGTTTCATTATGAACGTGTTTATGTGCTTTCAAGGACGTACAGATGTTTTAATGGACATAAATGTGTTCAGTTGAAAGTAGTTCCCCTAAATATTTATTTTGACCTTTCCTCTAGAGCAGGGGTGTCCAAACGCTTTCATATGAGAGCCAGAACTATCCAGATGAAAGGACTCGGGGGGGGGGGGGGGGG